GAATGCATGACAAGTTTTGCCATATCCTTTTACTGTACCAGCTCCTGGAAGTAGCTCATTTCAGTCTGTGATGATTTCCTTTTGCCAAGAGACAAAGTCCTTATCTAAAAAGTCCCTTGCACTTGCTGATTTTATTTTGGATAACTGTAACAGTGCCACAAGCTTCAGAGATGTGTCTGACACCTACTGCCACCTTTGTATTATATATCTCTCTTATAAATCTCTCAGGCATTGTTACACACCAAAGCTGAATGTGGCCATGGTGTGACTTTTTGCTTCTGTTACCAATTTATCTGCCATCTCTCTCTCTTTTTTTTTTTTTTTTTTTTTCATGTCTTCAGGTCCTTTAGTCTCCTATGAGCATGAAGCATCTATCTTTTTCAGACAGGTTTATTTACAAATGGGTCACCATCGATCAGAACTCAGCACTTCCTCTCTTTTCAGGTCTTTTTCAAAACTAACTCGTTTCTCTTGGAATTATTATAAATACTGAGAATTTTAGAGCTCTGGAATTTTTTATTCAGTTTCTCTTTTATAAATTTCCTTTTTTGGTGAAGTTTTGTTCTGGGGGATTCTTTGGTGGATTTTTCACTTGAATATGAAAAAAATAGTCTAAATAAAATCCAGGCAGAAATCTTGTTCACTGAAACTCTTCCCCATCTTTTAAATACATATTTTGAAGCATCTACACTAAATAGGGTTGCTTCATTATTCTTCTACAGGAGGACACAAAATTACAATGGCACATTAACTCTGTATAAGACGTCAATATTCACACACCTTGCACTGCATGTCGCACAGTAGGGAAGGACATAGTGTACCAATTAAGAAGGTACAGAAACTAAAAATAAAAGCAATAACTTTTTTTTTTTCTTTATAATTGCTAGTATCAGGCTACACTGTGAGAGATGTCCTACTGCTCAAGAAGAATATGTTTCATCCAAAGGAAAATCAAAGATAGCTCGTTCAAATTTGTAAGTCACAGAGGAAAAAACAAAGAGGAAAGAGAAGAATGTTAGAAGTTATGTACGTATGTGTATGTAAAAGAGGAAAAGATGACCAAGTTGTTAAATCATGATTTTTTTTCATAAATTAAGGAACACATAAAGTCTAGAAATGTTGGCACATATTCCATTTCTCTACATTTTACAATGCACAACCTAAGGTAATTAACAAATGATCAGGTTCAATAACCTAAGACAATACAATCTTTCATGTGAGAAGACTTGAGAGACTGCAAAGTTGCATATGATCTTCAGTTTTAAAACCATAGGCTTTTCATATTTAAAAGAAATGTAATAAAATGCATATATTTTCATATTGAAAATGTACAAGGAAGAAGGTAGAGGAATAATGAGAATTTTTCCTTACTCTTTTATAGAAAACCCCCCCTTTTTATTGTAAGCTTCAAGTATACAGACAGAGGGAGCCCATGCTTTAACCACAGAACCTTTTCAAAACATCAATTTGTAGATTTTATATTACATAGTAAAAAAAAAACCAAAAAACACACTGACAAAATATATGGCTTTTCTAATCAGTCAGCATCTACAAAAATGTAGTTCATGTAAGAAACATGATTTATGAATCTTGCATAATTCTAAATATAATGCATACTCAAAACTATTCTAATGGTTTTATGTCTGCCTGGATAGTAACAGACACGACATCTCCTGTTATAGCCTGACCTCCAAATTACTGATTTCTTACCCTGACTTCTTTGGTCTCATTCTGGCTATCTGGTAGCATTTCAAGCATTATTAAAAATAATGTTTTTTACGATTTGGAAAGACTTAATTATGTAGCATTTTATCTGCTTCCACTTTGAGTTATCATTCTGAACTAAATCCTTCATGCCTATTTTTTTTTCTGGTGGTTTGTAAATTTAAAGCTGCACTAATTCAGGTTTTTCTTGAGCTGTTATTTAAATCGCAGGCTAAGAAGAGACAGCCTTTTGATGCTTAGCTTTTTCTCTCTAATCTCTATTTTTTTCTCTCTAATCTACATGTAGAAAACATGTTTATTATTTATTCATTTATTTATTCTTGCACATAAAAACTTACAGGAAGTGTATATTTAGAGCTCCGTTCTTCCAGTGTACATATCCTCTCCCACTACAGAGGATCTTGTGACCTTCTGCCTGTCAAGAGGCACATTTGCTTTTTTTTTTTTTCCTTTCTTTTATTTTTTTTCTGATGTGGAACCATTCAAGCTTAAGTCACAGTAAACAGTAATCTCTTTGCATTCTTGAAAGGTCCAATGTAATTTCATTACCACTGTCCTGCATTTGTTTCCCAAACCGGTTATCTGCAAGAGGAAAATGATACCAGATTGATACCAGACTGTAAGCAAGACAATATTTTAATTTCATTTTTAACATGAAAAAATGAAGATTTAAAAAATATTATTACTTAATTTGCATCACATGCAAACAGAGATGTTAGTCTTGTTTGTATGTGAGTATTCAGAGACTATTTTGAAGTGTCTTGACAAAATTAATTGTAAACTTAATTGATAGCTGGCTGAGTAAACACCAGTTTTAACATTATTAGGGCAGCATATTGTTTGCTCAAATGCATTTATATTTAAAAAATAGATTTTTCTGACTTTATGAATGAACCATTTGTTTAGCAAAAATTACCAATGACAGTTATGAAATTATTTATGCCCATAAGTAGTGACATTCTCAAACTCTGAAGGCTATATTTTATAGGTTATTTGGTGATGTTATATTATATAGATTATTTGGTGATGCTAAACCTTAGCTTCTACACTTAGTTTATGAATAAAAGACTAAGACATTTTTGGGAGGAAACCATGAATCCATACAACATTTGATATTTTGATTTTTGTTTCGTTCTAAAAGAGATAATATGGCAGAAACCACAATGCGAATATTTTTATAAGGTCAAAATATTTGTGTATCAATACAATATTTAAATAAACTATGAAAATAATATATCAATACAAATAATTTTAATTAAAATTAAGAAATTAAAAGAAAAAATATTTTTCTTTTAAAATCCATTATTTTAATAGAAAAAAATATGGCCACTTTTCTTTAAAATCTTAAGTCACTGAATGCTTCTTTTACTATCAAAACATATTCATAAAAATTCAGCTACATTGTTGTTCACCTAAACCAAAATCACACTGCTTTTATAGAGTCATTTCAACATGATACTCTCTCATTTAAGAAACAAAATATTTCCAAGGGTTGGAGAGTGAATTTCATTCCAATATGGAATGATCTTTTTGTCTGGCATAAAACTCACTATACCATTTTTATTGGTATAATATTTCTGGGGGAGAAATTCAATAACAGGGGAACCAAGTTACTGAGCTATGAAAGCTGTCTGTCTGGAGACATGCTATTAAACAACACTTGAGCTTTCTGTTTACTTTGGTGGTATTTATAGTTATGGCTAAGCATTCACAGCCTGCACTTGCTAAATATTTCTAATATGCAGCTGCTGTAATAGAGAGCACAAATCATAGCTTCAGTGGTATTGTTTCCAAGAAATAAAAAGCAAAGGCAATAGAAGACTTTTGTTGCTTTTCACTTTGCTTCTGCATCTTATTCTTCAGTGCCCTGTTGCTTTATAAATAATGCATTGATATTACTTTTCATCAAGGTGTATGCATTCCCCATTATTATAGCACCTGAACATCCCATACATGAAGACTTTTATGCTGATAGATCCCTTTGACATGGAAAGCAAACACAATGCTGCCATAGAGCTGAGGGCATCTAGTTTGCAGTGGGGAATATACTCAGGGTTTTTTTTTTTCTAAAAGCAATGCTACAGCTTATCTCAAAGCTCTCCTGCTCAAGTTCCTGTATTGCAAGTTCACAATTTAATTCAAGGACTGGTTAAAATGTCCTTCAGGCCATGCAAGAATCTGTATGTCCATGTAGGCAAAAGGGCAGGGCCAGGAAGGCAGGTGACAAAAGTCTTAAAGAAGAGGACATTACCATTCTGGTCATCCACTAAGACATGGATATAACCCAGCAGATCTGTTGATGGTGAGGGACCACCAGGAAGGGGTCAGTGGAAGACCAGGGAAATAATTTCAAACCTCCCTAATGCAGGCTGTCAGTTTTACTTAAGTTTACTTTACAATACTGTCAGTTTTACTATTTGACACTACTGTATTATTATCAAGATAAAATAATAGAAATATTTTCACATGAAAAACAACCAAATTCTAAAGCTCAAAGCAGTACTGCTATGCAAAAAAATTGTCCAAATCAATCCATCCCACCTCTAAAATTACAAAATTAAAACCATAGGCTACAAAATAACTCATGTGGCTGAACCCCAGTTGGCAAATAAGTACCATGCATCCCTTTGCACACTGTCTTCCACTTCACCTCACCCCCCTTCTTAGGGAGGAGAATTAGAAAGAAAAGGCAGAACTTCTGTGTTGAGATAAAAATCTAATAACATAAGCACATAAAAATATTATTATTTATAATAATAAACTAATTTAATAACGTTAATAATAATAATGATAATGTTATTGATAAGGAGAGGGAGAGAATGTAAGGGAACACAAGAGAACTGAGAGAAGCACAACAGAATTGCTTATGATCCATTGACTGATGCACAGCCTGTCTCTGAGCAGGAATTGGCCCTGCCTGGGTACCTCTCCTAGTTTATATACTGGGCTTTATGTCCTTTGGGAAGGAATATCCCCACGGCCAGTTTGGTTCAGCTGCCCTAGCTGTGCTTCCTCCCAGTTTCTTGTGCACCTGCTCACTGGCAGAGGAAGCACAAAACACTGAAAAGTCCTGGATTTAGAGCAAGCACTCCTTAGCAACAACCAAAGCAATATTCTAATACTGAATCAAAAACACAGCGCAGTACCAGCTACAATTAAATCTATTCCAGCTGAAACCAGGACAATTATCTAAATCACTTAAGATAGTCACTGACAAATAGTCACTTATGTGACCCCTGACATTTAAGCAATTATTTGCCTGAAATGCAACTTACCGTTTGCAAGAAAACTCCTAGAGAAGAATTTCCTGGTTGAAAAGCTATTTTAGAACATAACTGGGACAAAGAAAGATAAAAAAAGGGGCACCTCAAAACGGATTAAATGCCAGTAGAAGAAAATGTTACTTGTATCATGTTTCAAAGTTGCTAATCATCAAAAGCATAAAGAAAAAAAAACCACAAAAAAAACCCAAACAAAAAACCCCCCAAAAAATAACAACAACAACAAAAAAAAAAAGGATTCCATCTATATTGTTCAGTGCAGAGAGGGCCTTATTTTACAGCATTGAGGCTGCTCCTAATTAATATTTATTTTAGTCCCGAGATGCCCTTCCTTTGAGAAAAGAGAATGAAATCTTGAAATCAGAGAACAATGTTGAACAAACACTGGTAAAAAATGATCAAAAACAACAATATTGGAAAAAAATTGGGAAATTTGGAAATGGGGTGACCACAACCAAATGGACTGAGAAGAAAAAAAATTATAAAATGAAGAATTTCCTTTCAGGAAAGGGAATGAAACCTTGAAATCTGAGAACAAACTCAAATAAAGCCTCTGGAAAGGAGATAAGATCAAAACCAAGGATACTGAAATTTGGAAATTGAGTGACTGCAACCAAATGGACTGAGAGAAGATGAGGTGCAGTGAAAAGGACTAAAACTTGCCAAAATTACTCTAATTCAAATCCTGAAATTGGGGACGAAATGTAAATAAAGACAGAGGGGAAGACTTGGAAGAAATAAAATGCTGAAAAAAGAAACGGGATCATTCTGAAGCCAAGTGAAAACCATAAAAGTGCATGGGATGACAAGAAGTGCAGGCTAGATGCCAAAATCTAAACATGTACATTTGATGTACTGAAACTTTGGGAAACATCCTAAAGTAGCCTCCATCAATTTGCAAGCCAGAGTGATACCTCCTAAGGACAGGATTTAGCTCCTCCTGCACAGCCAGCTCAACTGAAGGACAAAAAACTTTAGAAGTGTATAGGAAGAGTTACACATCTGCTCTCAAGATTTACTGAACTTGAACCTTCAGGATTGTTTTCTAAATGTTATAACATTACAGTAGAATATTGTGGCTTCCCACAATTATTTTTTCATTTATATTGTTAAGCTGAAAGATGTGAATGTCCCATATATATTGGAAGAATTTTTTCACTATTATTAAATTGCTGATTATCTTTTCTCTCTGAAACCCTTATAAAATGCTCTTAAATAAAATTTGCCTTCTATATACAATTGATAATATTATGATCAAAATAATATGGTTTATCTAATAAACATCTGGATGTGAGTGACAGTGAAAATGGACCTTGATCATAATTTGAAACATGACGGCTCTTTTCAAATTCTAGGCTACAGAACAGCTGTCTCAAAGAGTTTCAAATAAATTTGTCTTTTCCAATAAACCGAAGGGTTAGAGGAGGGCAGGTAAGAGGTCTTGTCAAAGTACAATACACTCAGTTACCTTGTGTTGAATTTTACAACCTTGGAATTCCATATAAACACCAGGCTATATCTGCTCATATGGGAGCATATTCCTCTTTTACCACTTAACTCTTCCAGGTAAGATCTTAGTTGTACACATTGTGAGGCAGGTGTGGCAGAGTAATAAATTAGGGACCTAAATCCATTTCTGTACCTGGCTGGGGCTTACATGCTTCTGATGGGCATATCTGGCAACCAGGTGGAAGATCCTGATGGCTGAGTGTTTAGTTTGTGGCTGTAAGGAGGGTGGCAAGCATTAACATCTGCAACTACAATACATGGTCACTCATATTTCCTTTTTTCTCCTGAGGTGTTGATCATGGGGTGTGCGGGGATACTGTGCTCCAGAACGGCTTGGATGAATGGAGACGAGAGATCTCTGAAGGCTGCTCTTAGAATATCAGGTTTATTATAGATGGTGAAAGGTCTTGCTTGGAGCTGCCAGACACAGCACGTGGTAAGGCCTGAGGGGATGGGGGAGGGGAGAGACAAGGGGTAGAGGGAGACAAGAAGATGCTCCAGGAGAAGGTGGAAGTTCTAAGAGGGTGGGGGTCCAAAGAGAGTGGGGGTTCCAAGAGAGGGGAAGTTCCAAGAGGATGGGGGTTCCAAGAGAGTGTCTGGCTCCTCAGGGACCCCTTATCAGGGGCTTCAAGGTGGGCTGGAACAAGACTTAGGCCAATGGGGTCACAGACACCTGATGCTTCAGGGTAGGGTTACAGGTGTGGGATGAGCCATACATTTTGGGGGTTGAGATAGAACAGTCCATTTGACTTTTGGATCTATCTGTAGGTAAAGGCATTGTCCAGCCAGTAGGGGGGATTGTCTTCATCCTGGCTGTACTATTGTAAATCTTTTGCCAGGCAGTCATATTTATTCATCCTCCCCAACATCGTGTACCTCCCAAGCCTAGGGGTGTCTGGCCTCCAGGTCACCACGAAAGGCCAAGGCCATTATGCAGATCAGAGCCTAAAGGGCAGACCAGTGGGATTTATGGGGATGAGTCATCTCCCATGGAAGAACTACATGTGACTACTCACCCTGTGAGTTTTAGTGTTCAAGGTGATTAGCATCAAAGGAACTATATGCAAATAATAGAATGTGGTGGTTTTGGTTCGCCAATCCTAGATTTCCCAGCCACTGCACCAATCAATGTGGTGGTTTTCCGTGCTGGCCAAACACTAGTGAACCCACTAGAATATAGTTTACTATTTCCAACTGTGAGATAGGATTAGGAGGAAGGCAAAGCAGGCTCAAAACTTAAAAGGATATAAAGAAAGCTTTATTAACAGTAATAAAAAAAAAAAGAAATAATAATAAGAATTAGAATAAAACTTTTAGAACACTTCTCCTCTCTCTACAACCTTTTCTTTCCCACTCACAATGTACAGAAACAATTCAGTCAGTTTATCACTTCTAGAATAGTCTTTCTGCAGTTCACTTAGTGAGAGGAGTCCCTCCAATAAAGTTATGGAGACTTCTCCACAAGAAAACAGTTCTCTCGTGTCTTTTAATTTCCATGAATAAAAACCTCCTGGAAAAAAGTCTGCAATTGTGAAGTCCCTCTCATTTTTCACAGATTCTTCCGCAGCTGTGTTTATGGGCCATGTCAAGTTATGAGGTACTATTTTAAGGATGAGCTCTTCCAAAGCAAACGTTCTCTTTATCTATCTCTGAGATAATCTTCATCTCTGGGAACAGAGGTCTTCTTCTCTCCCTGGGGCACAGGGTCTTCATTACTCTTCTCTCTCTCTGTTCGAACTTCTTATTAAATTCACAGCTTTTTCAACATTTGCCTGCTTCAACAGAGGTTTGAAAAATCCATCCCCCCACAATTCTTCAATGTGTTATAGGGGGAAAAAAAAAAGTCTGATGGATCAATTAAATTCTTCTCCATAGCTTTACAAGAGGATTTCATACCCAAGATCAAGGCATCTCCTCATCCCTCCTGCCGATGAGCTCTCTTCTCCCCTTGCTTTCCCTTGCCCCAGCTAGCCCTGGGGGGAAGGGGAGCGCGCAGATCTCCAGCGCTTCCCGCTGAACCCTTGCGGGCTTTGGGCAGTGCTGTGTGGGTTTGGAGAGCAATCAGCAAACCCCACGGCGGTTTAATGAAGAGAGTCTTTCTCCGGGGGGCGAATTCCGTTTTATTGCAATCCAACGGGGAAAACAATAATCCAAAGGGAACCAGGCTTGCCGCGCCGGTGTTCGTCGGAGCCGCGAGCGGGCGGGGTGGAGCGGCGCGCACTGGAGCTGGCCAGGAGGAAAGCACCGAGCGGCTTGCGCGGGGTGGCGGCGCGCGCTGGTGCCAGCCAGGAAAAAGCCTCAAGCGCGCTGCACGCACGGACTAAGTACGGGACAGGGGGAAACTGGGGCAGCCAATGGGGTAATGCCACGGGGGGTTTGAGGGTAGTGGGGTACGGGGGTACATCCAATGAAGGACGGACAGGTGGAGGGTCCCGGGTCATCTGCCTATCGCCCAGGCTCCCGGGTGGAATATTCCAGGTGGGGGGAAGGGATACCAAGTGACAGACAGACATTTGGGGGTAAACACAGTGACTTGGCATTTCTTGGGGACAACAGACCCGCGGGGAGAGACGGGAAGACCTGGGAGGGAATCGTTATAGGACTGGGGGTACATGGAACAAACTTATACATAATACAAATGTAATAAAACCTAAAAAACACAACTCTACACCCTCCCGTTCGGGACTCAACTTTCTCTTCATTGACATTGGTCTCTTCATGTTTCTCCTCTATGTGCCTGCACTTTGTCCTTTTCTCTCACTCGAGGGATGATTAAAGCATTGAAAGACTTATTATCTCACCTGGGGCCTACAGATGGTCACAAGACCCTGTCCGGGCTTGGTAGCTTTTGGCCAGCGCTGTTTTACAATGGAGCTTTCTGCAGTGGCTGCGCTGGGGCTGGGTCAGGATCAGCCGCTCTGGGGCAGAGGGCCAAGATCTCAGCAGCCAGGCTAGAAGTCAGCAGATAGCACAGCTAGGGGCTGATGGCCTCTCCTCCCCGCTGCCCGGTGGTTTCAGCTGAATCTCAACAGTGGTAGAATCTTGGCTGAGCCGGTCTGGCTTGGGGCTGCTTTCTGTGAGGGCTGCAGAGCCACCTCAATTCTGTGCAGCAGCCGCGCTGTGGGGAGGGCTGGGATCTCAGCAGCCAGACCTAACCCAGCAGCCAGTGCCCTTCCCTGTCCCAGTGGGACCCAGCCTGGCCTCAGCCCCGTGGCTCCTCTCCCCCTGCCCTGGCAGCCGATGGGCCCTGGCCCCCTGGCAGAGCCCACCTGGCCCAGCCTGGCCCAGCTCAGATGACGTGGTGGGGGGCCATGCTAACTGTGTTACCTGCTCTCAAGCCAGAAAAGAAAAAGACAAAATTCCTGGGATTTTTCATTTTTAACAACAGGTGCTCATAGAGCCATATCAGCTTCCTCAGTATTTTTACAGGTTGTCAATTCTCAAAGATAATTACTGATTGGGTTTTTTTTGTCAGACATGGAGGAAACTGCTAGCAGCTTCTCTTTCTCACAGAACAAAATGTGATGCAAAACCAGCACATTGAAAATAATTACTGTATTCTAATACAATTAATAACCAATAGAATATTAATATTAAATAAAATATATACATCTAAGTATGTAAATTAGAAAGCATTATTAATGTTCTCCAAGTATGTTTTCTGGATTATGTAATCACTTTTTTTCTTCAAGAG